GTGCCATGTGCAGACTGGGCACAACGGCAGCGCAGGAGGCAGCAGCGCTCGGCAGCAGCTCCTACGAGCGCTGCACAAGGTGCCGAGTAAACTGAAGAGTGTGGAAACTTATTGGTTACTTAAAATGCTAGCTAGCCTCTAATCTGACAAAAATTAAAAGAGGTCAAAGTTACCAAAAATTATTTTTTAAATAACCTATTTATAAAGAAACCTGAGAAATTTTCCCAAATGTGAGCTCTTCTTTCTGTAAAGGAAAAAATCTCTGGAAGCTCTGCACCTCTGGCAGGGCACAAAAACTTCTGGCCTGACAGAAAATACCAGGTTTTGGAGGGGCCTCCCAGCCCTGCAGTTCGGGCCCGCGAGCAGTGTGCGGCTGCTCGGGGTACGGGCCGTCCGCACCAGCACCGTGCGCGTGCAGGCGTGCTCCTTCTGTTACCTTCAGCAGCTGCAGCTTCGTCTCCAGCTCCATCTTCCTCCGAAGCAAGGCCTCATTGACAGTCTCCAGCCTGTGAAGAGCAAGCCTTTTCAGTGCTGCAGCACAGAGAGGCTATTGGATATTTTTCGCACTGCTCTTAGAGCTTGTGCAGCCCCATGTGATACCCCATGTGCATCAGCGCCCCGTGAGCCACTGTCCTCAGTGTTACTAGTGCAAGGGGAGTCAAACTGCCCTGGAAATTTCCAAAAACGAGGGTGTGGACAAGGGAAAAAAAAAAAAAGGAGAAGAGCAGAAAATACGGGTTAATTTCCAAAAATGAGCCAGCAGGTGAGGGGGAAGCCAGGATCAGCGGGAGGGCAGGGGCGAGCAGCCGATGTCCTGCCGCGCGCTCTGCGACGGGCCCGGCCGGGACGCAGTCCCTGCCGCGGGAAGGGCAGACGGGGGTGCAGAGAGCGCTGCAAGAGCCTGCAGTGTCCGGGCAGCCCTGCCCGTGACCGTCCCCACGCGCCACGCGCTGCCCTCTCTGCCTCAACCCACCCCCCTGGCGCTGCATGGCCAAAACACACCCGAACTGTCGAGTTTGGGGCAGCGCGGGTGCCGGGCTAGCTAGAGGCTGCTCGGCTTCCAGCAGGAGAGACCAGCTAGGGGCAGCGGGAAGGAGAGAGGCCTACCTCAAATAATTCCCTGAAGATTTTATCAGGTCTACTATTTGCTTGTGACTGAAGCCATCGGTGTTCACGCCGTTGACATTGGCAAGGATATCACCTGTCAGAGTTAAGCAGAAGACAAATCAGCTTCTTCAGCAGGTGAGGTTTTTCCTCATTCTCTATAGCGCTCACCAGCAGAAAAGCAAAATAAAGCTCCCCGCAGAAGGAAAATGTGAACAGTTACCGATCTGAAGGCCAGAAAAATAGGCAGGACTTTCCTCTTGAATTTTGCAGACACAAGTGCACAGCTCCGGGGAATAATCATTTTGGTGTGGAAATCTAGTAGTCTGTGAATACCAAAGTAACAATGTCACCAATATGAAAGCCATGAAAAAACTTAAAAATTAAAATACTGTCATACAGCCTAATTTGATTTCATGGTTCTTTTACAGTGCTTTAGATAAGCCTCTGATGTGCAGGGTATACTACCATAAAAATGAGAATGTCAAAAGTTTACAACCTAACAATTAGAAACTTAACTCTCACAATAGAGAAGAGCAGACTCTAAAATTGACTGCCCGATAGATTGTTTTATTCATTATAAAAACTCAGCAACTGCAGTCAAGATTATTTTTTCGCTCATACTGTAATTGGAATGAAATGACACTCGAGGTTCCCAGACAAACACAGCAGTGTACAAGCCAAGCTTTCCAGAAGAGGCTCCTGCTCGCTGTAGATGCTGTGCAGGTCAGCGGGTGTTGCAAGAGAAATCAGTTAATGGGGATGACTAAAGAGCAAGAAAAGCTGAAGCTACTTTTGCCCTTCTGGTCTCTTGAACTCATTATCTCCATGTCTCTCTCTCATCCCTCTTGAAAAAAAAAGGGATTTTTATTTTTGATTTATAGATTTAAATATGTATAAATAATTCTACTTAATATCCAACACCTGATTATCAACTGTGACATTTAAAAACATAAGTAAGTCAAATATAAGTAAAATAAGTAGAAAATGCAACCTGATCTGTAATAGCTGCAAAGACAGGATGACCGAAGTTAAAGGTCCTGGAAGGCTAAGATAGACAAATCTACTCAGATATAAAAAGACATGTCAGATTCTCGTATTTTCTCTGGCAACATGGAACAAACAGGGATGAAGACCGGGATGACTTCAGAGTTTATCCACATAAAGAGATTTCCGATTAGAAAGTAAAACTTTCAGCTGAACTGAGAGAGACAAGTGAAGCGTGAGAACGCTGAAGGACGTGCACTGCACACGGAGAACCGCACGTGTCACTGCCCTTCTTCACCCTGTTTCAAGCTAGTGGATCTCACCTACCGACTGCTCCGACCATCTTGAGTGACATTAACTGGACAGGCGGGCTGGGATCCATCACTCCTAACCTAAGCCACCTGAAAGGAGGAACCTAGTCACCCAGGCTGTACTCAAGGATGTCCTTCCTCTCAGGACAGCTTCCTCTCCTCATGGACTGCAGGCGAACAGGCACTTACTAAAGAGCTTAACTTGCAGATGGCTAAAGAGAGGGGAGAGAAATGCTGCTGTGAGGCCCTGGTTTGCAAACACCAGGCAGATCCGGGGCTGCATCTCGTCAGCCTTGCTTTCAAACTCCATTTCAAAATGGGAAGTACTAGAAGAATCAGTAAAATGAGAGAAACTCTGGCATTCAGTCATCACTCTGATTCTCAAAAGCTCCCTGTGGGTGGTAGACCTGAAGTTTCACATCATCTTATTCTGGCTTGCCTAGATGTAAATTATAGTATTGAAATTATAATTTCTAGATAATACCAGAAAAACACTGCCTCTTCATGGCTTAGGCTTTCTAGCAAAACATTCGCAATGAATGTACATTCAGGAAGAAAGTATATCAAGAATAATCCTCGTTAATCAGGGACTGTCACAAATAGTGAAAATCTGCCCTGTCGGTTTATACAAAAGCCCAACAATTGACTCAATTATTTTCATTTCTGAAAGCTCTCTGCTATTCATGAACTGAACACTTACCCCCCTTATTAGTCACAGAATCCAATTTGAAAAAGTTAAGCTTTCCTAGTATGCTAATGTCACTGAAAATAACATTTTCCCTTTATGCACCTACATAGGCAAATGCTTTGAAAATGCAAAAGAGAAGGGGCAGTGGGAAGGCATCTACATGCTGGCAGGACAGAACCAACTGCTGCTCTCATAAACTTGGTTGGTAGCTTGCTAAAATGTCTACTGCTTCCTCAAGAATAGCTCAGCACATGCTATTGCCATATATTCTGCTACAGTTACTCACGGTGTTTATATCACACTACCAGCTATTTTGTAAAGCTGTAATCATGCTGTCTTTGCAAACAGACAACAGAAACAGAATACATATGCTTAGAGGAGCGGTAGCACTGTGTTATGTACCAGATTCCAGCTGAGTCCAGCTGTCATTTAGGAAGAGTCCTGTGATGTTTTCCATAAAAGCCAGCCATAAAACAACAGCATTTTATTCTCACAGTGTGGAAACAACACCAGCACAATTGGTAGTAACTCCCTTCTGCACAAAGCATTTCACATTAGACACCTGCAAGCGGAATTTAAAGGGATGGATAATGCTAGTTAATATCCACCTCTACCCCCACCTTCCTTTGGGCACTTCCTGACGAGCTGCTGCCCTTCTCTGCTTCCTGCAAACTTGACCTGATTTTGACCAAGGATAACTTTGAGGATGTGACACTTAAGAGTCTGGGCCATATTTTACATTCAAATGACCCCACTCATCACTTATGTCCTACCTGAATTTCAAACCCAAATGTCTCTTTATCTTCTTTGACGATAGCAACAATGTGTCTGTAAGAAAAACACACAGAATTGCATATAAATACTGGGCACCACATTTCTTGCACTGTTTATTTCTAAGGAAAACAATCCCGTCCTCTCGCTCGCCGCTGCCTGCACTAGCAGAGTTATTGGTATGCGCTGATTCGGCCCAAACGCCCGTTTCCCTATTCATGTGACACCTTAAATTGTCACATTTAAGGTTCCAGGTATGGGGCACCAGCCGACCTTGGCTCTTTGCTCTGCCTTGGCAGCCCTTTAGGGCTGCTGAACTCCACGGTTTCCAAGACCCACATTTCACAGGAAAAGCTGTTCTGAATATTCACCCTCTCCCGCGCGCCAAGGAACACGAGTAGCAACAGCGGGAGGAGAGGAAGGTCTTTGTACCTTTGTGGTGCAGAGGAGTCCCCCAGGGAGCTGGAGCGGGTCAGGCCGAGCTGCAATCAGAAATCAGAGCACGTGGGTCAGCGATCGGGGGCCCGAGGAGCTGACGTGTGGGGCAGAGGGCACGAGGCCCCGGGGCAGAGGGGCTGGCCCAGCGGGGAGGCTGCGGCTGCGAGGAGGAGGAGGAGGAGGAGGAGGCGATCCCCATGGGCACAGCTTGGATCCCGGCGCGCAGGTGGACGGGATGGCAGCAGGGGGATTAGACGGGCTGTTGGAGCTTCCCCAGCTCGGAGCAAAGCAGGACGGCGCGAAGGAGCGGAGCCCAAGGCCTGCACCTCCGCGAGCTGCGTGCCGCGACGGACGCAGCTGTGTGAAGCACGGCACGAAGTGCAAGAAGCAGTTATTGAGGGTACCTGCATTTATTTCTATTACCTGGGAAATTCAACCCTGGAAAATGCAACACGTAATCTCTTTCATTTTTCCCATCTCTTTAAATATAGAATTGGAGTACCTCAAAGGTCCCAACACAACGGAGCAACAGCAAATAAACAAATTAAAAAAGGAGTTTGGGGCACCCTGTGGCACTGATTCCGCCGCTCGGCTGTACGCCCCCACAAGCACTTGGGCATCCTCCCTGCAAAGCAGCTGCACGATACCGACCCGAACTTCAATAACGGGCCACCTGCCGCCTACCCCATCTTCTGTGGAATAAGGTTGAAAACTGGCGCTGAGATCCTGCCAGCCAACACGAAATACGTGGGGCCCGTGCTATTTTGTGCCAGGGTGCTAATTTGACACCGTCACAATTAGCTTTCAGAACTCAACAACACCAATGTCAGGAGGAGAGAACTCTGCAGCACAAGCAGCTTGGCTGAGAGACACTTGCAGCAATATCAGATCTGAAGGCAGGAAGCTGCTATCGAGAGTGATGAAAAAGGTTACTGCGAAAAATGCATGAGAACAGGTGGAAAATTCGAGGTTGAATCCCCATAAAATCTTTCTGACTGCTTGGAGTATGGAACTCAAAGAACTGCTGCAGATTTAATTTCCTAGGACCTGTGAGGAAGGGGCAAGGCAGGAAGCATCGCCTTAAGAAAACCCCCGCACTCAGTGCGCTCATGAGGCAGAAGCACCTTGGGCCCTGCAGGGTTCAGAAGCCAAAATTTTGGTTTTT